AGCTCCGTGATTGAAATGTCATTTAGGCAGAGCACGCGAAGATTTTGAAGCTGGCAAAAGCCATCTGGCAAGCTAAAAATGAAACAAATACATTTAACGCAAATTAACAATAAGGATGTCAAATAATTTTTTTGAATCCAACCTTCGTAAGGGATTATTACTGGCGTCAAGCGTTTGTAAATTTGAGCAAAAGCGAATGCTAGTTGGTAGGTCACAAATGTCTAAATAATATTGTATGAAATACGAAGTGAATACCGTTTCTGCTTATATCAAGTTCAATAAGGTTCGAAAAGTTTCCAATCCCAGGGGGTATTCTGGACAATTCGTTATCACTTAATGTTAAATAACGAATTCTTTCCATTCTAAAAAAGTTCTTTTTAATAAAATAATAAAATTTGATAGTGTACTTTAGGAAAGTCCTTAATCTGATTGGCATCCAATCTACATTCTTCAAGAGTTCTGCAGTTACGAAGAACCTCATCAGGTATAATAAGGAGGTTTGAGTGTCTCCTGTCAATTTTTTCTACATGTCTACCGCATCCTTTTAAGAAAGGCAGACATTTAAACATTTCTGCAAAGCAAAGTAGGAGGAGTTTGGATCATGCGGCCGCCTGCCTAAACAACGAGCTAAAGTTGTAGACACAGCTTATCAAATTATATTAGCTTACTTTTATGCAACAAATACTTAATGGGACATTTTTAAAAATTCTATATATGCAACAAATTTTAAATAATTTAATTTTAAATGAATTTTTTTCAGTTCGAAAGTTTCTTGTGGCTTAACGTTTTAGGATACACTAGTAATGTAACCTGTGCACTTAAATTGTTAGAATATATTAGGTGGTCAGGATTAACGTATACATGTATTGGCTATATTTGAAAATATGTTGAACAGGATGGTGGATATTATTCGAGTTTAATTAAGGATTCGTAGCCTTGTTATAGCTAAATTGCTAAGCATTTAATTTAAATAAGATGATATATATATCATTTACTTATTTATTATTTAAGTAAAATGATGAGCTAGATAGTCTAATTGCACGAAAAATTCATTCTGGCCCCGTAATAAGGATAGTTTCTTACTTTCTCTTAACCAACGTGAAAGGAAAATTAAGTTCACAACGTAAACGAAGGATAATAAGTCTTACTCTTTTTGGACGTTTTGATCATTAGAGAATAAGGG